TAATAAACCAGGTAGATTTCCTTCCAACATATCTGAAAAGACTAAGACATCAGAAGAGCATCATATAAGGGTCACTAGCTAAAATATTTTGTGTTGGACTACGAATACCTAAATTAATAGAATATGAATACTACTAGTTTAAGCTAAACAACTGAAGACTAGTAATGAAAAGTATATAAAAGATACTTCATAATTATTTTGCATTGAACACATCAGGAAGAGTTCCAGCTAGCCTGTGCGGTGACACCAACCGACGCATTCCCTGCGGTGACAGTTCCACCTTTCTTGAACACTGGAGGAAGCTGATGTAACTGTTCCAGGGTGGTTTGGGGCCGAGGGTGCTCATCTACTTGCATTGTTTGTTTTCCTTTCCTTGTCTTCACTTCAATTGGTACCATTTCTTCATTAAAGTAGCCAGCATCATTAGCTGAAATAATAGAAAGACTTAACATAAGAATAAAAAAAAAGAGAGAGAGAAACAAGAAAAGAAAATAAATGAAATATATTCTCCAATTTAATTTCTGATCTACTCTTTCCTCACAGTCCACCTTAAAATGAGCCTTTATTATTTATACAATTTACCTTCCCTACTGGACGATTTAACGTACTGTCGTGTCTATGCAGATGCATTTTGCACCTTTTTAAAATTATAAATTTGATTTTTTAAAACTGCAATTGTTTCTTTTTATGAGGTACTGCTAGACGTTAGCTGGTTTGTCTGTTAGCTACAGATGTAATGACCCTAAATATTTGGCTGTTTCTTTGAATCCTTAAAAATATCCTTTGTAATAAACTGGTCAACACAGCTAAGTGTTTTCCTGAGTTCTGTGAGCCGCTCTAGCAAACTAACTGAACCCAGTGAGGGGGCTGTGGGAACCCTGATTTATAGCTGGCTGTCAGATACTCTACAGACCTGGGCTTGCAACTGGCATCTGAAGTAGGGGGCAGTCGTGGGGACTGAGCCCTCAACCTGTAGGATCTGATGCTATCTCCAGGTACGCAGCATCAGAGTTAATTGGAGGACACCTAGCTGGTGTCCGCTGAAGAATTGCCGGCCTGCTTGTAAGTGAGGAGAAGCCCCCACACATGTAATCACAGAAGTCAGAAGTCTCTGTTGACTGCTGCTGAGTAAGAGTGCAGAGGGAAGTCAGTGTGTGTTTTATTTTTCCACTCTCTCTCACAGATGGCATCAGCTCTATTTCATTTATCTCTCTGAAATGAAGTGGACTTCATCCTCACTACTTGATATATTTTCTAGTTTTACAATTTTCACTTTGGTTTTCTTAATAGTTTCTATATCTTTGCTGAAATGTGAAAAAAGGATAGCCAATGGGTCTTTTCTAAACACATCATCTCTCCTTGTGATTATGATATGGCTCCTGGGGGAGGACATCTGCTCTGTCCCAGCTGCCACAGTGCGCCATCTCCTCTCATGAAGTGTATCATGTCCCTCAGCATGTTCTACTGACAACAGGATCAGTTCAGGACAAAATTCAAGTGTCCAGATAGGGTCAAGTAAGAATACCACTTCTAAGTAATATTAACTTATTTCAAAAGAGAAATTCCCAGTTAATTTTGCAATAATTAATAGAATATCTGTTCATCTAAAAACAAAAGAATTATGAAAAAATGTGATTTTCAAAGTTATGATTTTTAAACTAACATTATTACATGACCATTAGAATTTGAAATGATGGAAATCTTTCCTATACATATTTTTCCTATAGATATTGATATTTATCCAATTTCACTGACCAGCTTTCCACCTCTGCTGTGACTGCAAGGCATATTTGTCACAATCTTCTCTGCTTATTTTATGTTGTATAGCAAGATTCTCTGCAGTAAGTGCCATGGAGACTTGGACATGTTCATCTGTTAATCCTGCCCACAAAGAATCTTCCAACTATTAAAAGACATTAATAACATAATTTGTTAAAGTGTTACCTTTTGAAAGTAATATGCTATAATTTATTTAAATCTAAATAACCAACAGTTCTAATAAACAAAAGTAAAATTAGACTTTCTGATAAACATTTGTTATTTACTATTCATATTTGGTTCTGGGTTATCTTTAAAAAACATCCAGTATTTTAAAAAACATCCAGTGTCACACAATAAAAGGCACACATTCCTTCTTTTATTCTCTCTCTCTCTCTCTAAGTGTGGGGCTCTAACAAGAGCCAACAGTATTGAACGTGTAGAGTGAACATGCAAGAAGTTACCCTATAATTAAAAACTAAATCCTCAAGGTTACATTTTTTATAAGATACCTGATCATGTCCTCATGTGATGTTTTCCTGGAGCCACCTTTGTAAACCAGTCATGAGATCTATAGGAAAGAGTGTATCTGTGCTCCCTCTTCACCCCATGCCTTCAGTGACGGGAACACCTGGTTCTATCAGTTACTATGAGGCTGAAAAGCACCTGGTTCAGGCTCCTTGAAAAAGATTATTATCCAAGTAGTTAGAGTCTCTAATAAGTGTGCCCCGTTTGCTGCCTCTTCACCTTGAGTCACTGAATCGTCAAATATATACAATGTCTACAATACTGCTAAAATACTCATAGTCTCCAAGTCTCACTCCTTTCAACTTCCAAAAAGGCCAATGTGAGAAACTGGGTGAATGGTGTAAGCTGATCATTACTACTGGAAAAAGCTAAAAAATATAAAACGTCAGCTCTTTCATATGGAAGGACAGTACAATATCATTCTTTATCAGTACTATCATTTTCATGTTGTAGCTCTCAAAGGTGGAAGGATCAGTTTTTGTTTGATTTGGGACAATGCAATCTATATCCAAAGACGATGTTTTCTGAGATGAAGAAATCCATTCAATGGAGATTGCCCCAGAAATAAAGCTTCCATAAGTCATGATAAAGATTTAATTACTTGGATTACTAATTATTTAGTAGAGAGATTAATGTACCTCTTTGCTTTTAACCCATCTCTTCCCTTCATCTTTCTCATGCATATGGCTGCTTACACGTGTTAATTCCACTAGAGGTGTGCTAAGATAAAGTCTAATTTTACGTGGGTTAAAGAGTCAAAACTAACAACCAAAATTGGATTTTGAAATAGTTTACAAATCTCAAATCATTCATATCTTGCTAATCCCCCATTAACAAAATTGGTTTCAAAATTAGTTTTCTCTCCCCTAAAAAGGTATGTTATTTAAAAATTATTTGTGTAATAGTGTAAGATATAATTTTTAGAAATTTTAACAGTTCCAACCTTGAGCTCTGATCCTAACTTGGTTCCAAAACGTATGTTTCTGACATAGTAGGGAGATTGGCTCATGTTTTCAGTTCCTCCACACAAGACAACTTCAGCATCTTTAGCACAAATTTCCTATTTAAAAAAATACAAAAAATAACAAAAAAACCTTTCATTGTACCCAAAGTATGTATTAAATACATAGATTTTACAAATTAATGGTGATTCTAATAAATACTGTATTCTCGCTTACAGTGTCTCAAAGAAAAAGTAACTGTAAAGCAAAAGTTAAAGTATCCATTCCTAAGATGCAGAGGGAAAAATACTAATAGACTTTAATCATTTATGCCTGAGAAACAGACTACCTACATTTTGGCTAATGGTAATCCTTAACTCAATAGAAATCTTGAAAATCAGCACAGATATTAATATCTAGCATACATAAAGCAGATAATAAAGGACAAAACTCTTTAAAAAGGCAAAAAAAAAAAAAAAAGACTTATCCTATTACTGGTTGTATCTGAAGGAGACCAAAGATTTACAAGAACTAGGTCAATCTCGGGGGCTCATAAAATGAAATCTCTTTCATTCTTCTAACTCTTTCCACTGTTTGCATTTCTCAGAAAAGAAGCAAATAACAAGCCTCCAAGAAACTGATGTTTAAAATTATTGCTAGGAAAATCAGGGTCACTAAGATATATTGTTATAGAAACAAATTAGTGTGAAAATAATTTATTCATTGAAATTGACCTGTGCATCTTACTTTATTTTGTAATACAATGAAGACTTTTATGAATAAAATTGGATTTCAATGTATTTTCTTCCTGTGATCAAGGGAACAAACTTATCTGCCCAACTGTCCTTTAGAAAGGTCATATTAGTTTGTACTTCTGCCAACAGAATCATTCAGTTCCTTTATAACAGAATACATATTCTAATCATCCCCTAAGTTCTTCAACTCTCCTCCTTGCCTCACGGTCTTTATTTAGTTTTTCAAACTGTCCCACAGGTAACCCTTACAGACCTGGGTTCAAATTCTGCTTCTATGACTTAGTAACCTAGATGCTTTTAGTAGTCATTTTCCTCATCTGTAAAGTGGGGATAATAATAATAATAGCTCTTGCTTCACAGGATGGTTGTAAAGATTAAATGAAATATTGAATGTAAATCTAGCACTAACTTAGTAACCTAGATGCTTTTAGTAGTCATTTTCCTCATCTGTAAAGTGGGGATAATAATAATAACAGCTCTTGCTTCACAGGATGGTTGTAAAGATTAAATGAAATATTGAATGTAAATCTAGCACTGTGCCTGACACTTAGTAAAGAGACTAGTCATAATTAGCTTTTTAAAAAAAAATTGTGATAAAATATACATAACGTAATGTTTACCATTTTAAAAGAGTTCTGGGGGTGGATGGTAGTAATGGTTGCAGTACAATGTGAATGTGCTTAATGTCACTGAACTGTACACTGTACACTTTTCATCTCACAAAACTGAAACTCTATACCCGTTAAACACTAACGTCCCCTTCTCCACTCCCCCAGCCCCTGGAAGCCATCATTCTACTTTCTGTCTCTTTGAATCTGACTACTCTAGGTACCTGTGATATTATGATTTGTATATTTTGGTTTTTATCCACAGTTCCTGGCTTGTTCTAACCTTCCCCTGCCTTCTACCTTGGAGCTAGTCATAAAGAAACTCTCTGGGGGCTGGCTGGTTAGTTCAGTTGATTAGAGTGTGGTACTGATGACATCAGGTCCAGGGTTCTATCCCTTTATTGGCCAGCCCCCCCACCTTGCCCACCAAAAAAAGGAAACTCTGACCTACCTTGTCTGATTATAGGTCATAAGGTTCCCATTTCAGAAGGGGTCCTGCCCCAAACCTGGGAGCAAGGAGTGCTGTGCAGAGAGGCTAAGAAGAATCTGAACAAACAGGTCCTGCTGGGGTTCCCCACTTAGTCTATTAGTATTAGATCACACCCTTTTTGTCCAATCAAATTTCTTTTTTTTTTTTTTTTGTCTTTTTTTGTGTCCGGCAACGGATCGCAACCCTCAGTGTNTAGTTTTTCAAACTGTCCCACAGGTAACCCTTACAGACCTGGGTTCAAATTCTGCTTCTATAACTTAGTAACCTAGATGCTTTTAGTAGTCATTTTCCTCATCTGTAAAGTGGGGATAATAATAATAACAGCTCTTGCTTCACAGGATGGTTGTAAAGATTAAATGAAATATTGAATGTAAATCTAGCACTGTGCCTGACACTTAGTAAAGAGACTAGTCATAATTAGCTTTTTTTAAAAAAAAATTGTGATAAAATATACATAACGTAATGTTTACCATTTTAAAAGAGTTCTGGGGGTGGATGTTAGTAATGGTTGCAGTACAATGTGAATGTGCTTAATGTCACTGAACTGTACACTGTACAGTTTTCATCTCACAAAACTGAAACTCTATACCCGTTAAACACTAACGTCCCCTTCTCCACTCCCCCAGCCCCTGGAAGCCATCATTCTACTTTCTGTCTCTTTGAATCTGACTACTCTAGGTACCTGTGATATTATGATTTGTATATTTTGGTTTTTATCCACAGTTCCTGGCTTGTTCTAACCTTCCCCTGCCTTCTACCTTGGAGCTAGTCATAAAGAAACTCTCTGGGGGCTGGCTGGTTAGTTCAGTTGATTAGAGTGTGGTACTGATGACATCAGGTCCAGGGTTCTATCCCTTTATTGGCCAGCCCCCCCACCTTGCCCACCAAAAAAAGGAAACTCTGACCTACCTTGTCTGATTATAGGTCATAAGGTTCCCATTTCAGAAGGGGTCCTGCCCCAAACCTGGGAGCAAGGAGTGCTGTGCAGAGAGGCTAAGAAGAATCTGAACAAACAGGCCCTGCTGGGGTTCCCCACTTAGTCTATTAGTATTAGATCACACCCTTTTTGTCCAATCAAATTTCTACACAGTTGTCCATGCCTCATTCATGCCCATGTGATGAAGCTTCCATAAAAACCCTAGAGCACAGGGTTCAGGGAGCTTCCAGACAGCTGAACACATGGAGGTTCCTGGAGGGTGGCTCGCCAGGAAAGGGCATGGAAGCTCCAAGTCCCTTCTCCCATACCTTGTCCTATGCATCCTTTAATCTGTATCTTTTGTAATATCCTTTATAATAAACTAGTAAACATATGTACATGTTTCCCTGAGTTCTGTGAGCTGCTCAGCAAATCAACCCAACCTGAGGAGAGGGTTGTGGGAACCCCAATTTATAGCTAGTTGGTCAGAAGTTCCAGAAGCGTAGGCTTGCAACTGGCATCTGAAGCAGGAGGCAGTCTTGGGGACTGAGCCCTCAACCTGTGGGATCTGACACTATCCCCTGGTAAATGGCATTAGAACGGAAGTAGAGGACACCCAGCTGGTGTCCACTAGAGAAGTGCTTGCTTGCTCACCTGCTCGCTGGTGGGGAGAAGCCTGTCTTCTGCGACTGTGATTATACTGTAAGAGCAGAGGGAGAACAGTGTGTGTACGTGTGTGTGTGTGTTTCCTCTCTCACTGCCTCACAAAAGTGGAATCATACAGTATTCGTCCTTTTGTGACAGGCTTATTTCACTTCAGGGTTCAATAACTTTAAGAAACTATTTCTTCCTGTGAATATTTTTCCAAGAAAAATCAAATATTGACCTCTCGTAACAGACAACACAAAATAAAAAACTTAAAAGTAATATATTAGAAGCAGGGCATTTCTTCTAATAACTATTAACCTATATTCAGAGAAGTAAATAAAATATTGCCCATACCTGACATCCATTCACAATGGACTGGAAACCAGAGCCACAGAGCCTATTAACAGTGAGAGATGGGGTCTCTTTAGGGATTCCCACACGCAAACCAACATGCCTTGCCAAGTATATAGCATTTGAAGAAGTCTGGAACAGAGAGAGAGAAAAGAAAAACAATTTCCTCTACAAACGCAGGAATTAAGAACAAGCACAAAATACATGGAAATGGTGGCGATT